CTCTTCTGGGACAGTCTTGTAGGACACTCTTGTAGGACACTCTTGTGGGTCACTCTTGTGAGACACTCTTGTAGGACACTCTTGTAGGACACTCTTGTGGGACACTCTTATAGGACACTCTTGCGGGACACTCTCGTAGGACACTCTTGTGGGACACTCTTGTAGGACACTCTTGTGGGGCACTCTTGTGAGACACTCTTGTAGGACACTCTTGTGGGACACTCTTCTGGGACAGTCTTGTAGGACACTCTTGTAGGACACTCTTGTGGGTCACTCTTGTAGGAAACTCTTGTGGGACACTCTTGTGGGACACTCTTATAGGACACTCTTGTGGGACACTCTTGTGGGACACTCTTGTAGGACACTCTTGTAGGACACTCTTGTGAGTCACTCTTGTGGGACACTGTTGTGGGACAGTCTTGTAGGACACTCTTGTAGGACACTCTTGTGGGTCACTCTTGTAGGAAACTCTTGTGGGCACTCTTGTGGGGCACTCTTGTGAGACACTCTTGTAGGACACTCTTGTGGGACACTCTTGTAGGACACTCTTGTGGGACACTCTTATAGGACACTCTTGTGAGGCACTCTTGTAGGACACTCTTGTGGGACACTCTTCTGGGACACTCTTGTAGGACACTCTTGTCAGACACTCTCGTAGGACACTGTTGTGGGGCAGTCTTGTAGGACACTCTTGTAGGACACTCTTGTAGGACACTCTTGTGGGACACTCTTATAGGACACTCTTGTGGGACACTCTTAAGGGACACTGGGACGCTCTTGTAGGACACTCTTGTGGGACACCCTTGTGGGACACTCTTGTAGGACACTCTTGTGGGACACTCTTGTAGGACACTCTTGTGGGACACTCTTGTGAGACACTCTTGTAGGACACTCTTGTAGGACACTCTTCTGGGACACTCTTATAGGACACTCTTGTGGGACACTCTTGTGGGACACTCTTGTAGGACACTGTTGTAGGACACTCTTCTGGGACAGTCTTGTGGGGCAGTCTTGTAGGACACTCTTGTAGGACACTCTCACTCATGTGGGACACTCTTGTGGGACACTCTTGTAGGACACTCTTGTGGGACACTC